CTGATATTGAGCTTCTCCAGCGGTTCCTTCCACAGATGTAGTTGATCTGATTCTTATGCATACCATCAGGTGAAGTCCATGTGTAGCCTAAATACATGTGTGATCAATTTAAGACTGCAAAAGTTGGTTGTTGTTATGTGCTATCGAGTCAACTACAACTTATAGTGACCATATGCACAATAGCTCTGAACACTGACCTATCCTGAGCCAGTCTCACTGTTTCCAACACACTAACACTCATTATCCCAGTTACTGTGTCAATCCATCTCAACCAAGGTCTTTCTCTCCTGTACTGTCCCTCTATCTTTCCAAACATGATGTCCTTCTCTAAGGACTGGTCACTCCTGGCAATATGCCCAAAGTATGTGAGGAGACAGAAACCTTGCCTCCAAGAACAACTTGGTTTCACCCTTTCCAGAACAGACCTGTTTGTTCTTGGTGGTCCATGGTATGTTCAATACTCTTCTCCAGCACTACAATTCAAAGGCATTGTTTCTTCTGTCATCTATAGTCATTATCCAGCTCTCTGGTGCCTAGCAAGTAATTGCAAAGACCATGACCTGGATCAGGCACACCTTAGCCTCTAGACTGACATCATTGCTCTTAAGCACTCTGGAGAGATTCCTGAGAGCAGAATTTCCTAACACAGTTTATCTTTTGATTTTTCTGACTTCTGTGCCAAGAGTGTTGATTGTGAAGCCAAGCAAGCTGAAATTGTTAAGAATCTCAATATCTTCTCCATTTATCATGGTGGTGCAATGGCCCAGTGGTGAAAATCTTTGTTTTCTTAATGTTTAGCTTCAATCCATATTGAGGAGTACAATCCTTGACCTTGTGCAGCAAACAAAGCAAGTTTGTGTCAACTGCATACTGCAAGTTGTAATAAGTCTTCTGCCAATCCTCATGCCACATTCCTCCTCGTAAAGTTCAGTCTCCCGAATAATCTGTTCTTCATAGAGACAGGATGCATCCCTGAAGTAATCCTTTCCTGATTTTGAACCACTGTTTCCTGGCCCAAGTATAAGTTTCACATGAGCACAGTGAAATATTCTAGGATTACCATTCTTCTCAATGTTAGCCGCAATTTGTTGTGATCCACACAGTTAAATGTCATTGCATAATCAATGAAACACATACAGATATTCCTCTCATACTTTCTGCTTTCAGCTAAGATCCATCTGGCATGGCTATAATACAGATTAGTTTGCTTGGTTCCACAATTAATGTTCTTGGTACCAGCAGCCAGGAAATCAAGAGATAAATTACACTGGGAAAGCCAACTGTCAGGGACCTCTCCAGAGTACTGAAGAACAATCATGTCAGTCTGGTCACTAAGTGTGCCTGATCCGGGCCATAGTCTTCGCAATTGCTTGCTATGTGTCAGAGAGCTGGACAATGACTAGGTATGATAGCAAGAGAATTGATGCCTTTTATCTGTGGTGCTGGAGAAGAGCATTGAACACACATATCATGGACTGCCAGGAGAACAAACAGGTTCGTCCTAGAGGGGGTGAAACTAGGCTGCTCCTTGGAGGCAAGGACTCTGAGACTTTGTCTGACGTACTTTGGACATGTTGCAAGGAGGGACTGGTCGTTGGAAAGGGACAGCATGATTGGAAGAGTCGAGAGACGGCGAAAGAGTGGAATAACATTGATGAGATGGATTGACACAATGAGGTAGTGAGGGTAAGTGTGGCGGAGACAGTAAAGTTGGCACAGGATAGAGCAGAGTTCAGGGCTGTTGTACATAGGGTTGCTATGTGTCGCAAGTGACTCAACTGCACATAACAACAACATATATATCTTAATTGTGCTGCCAACCCAAAGGCAAGAAGTTCATAGCTACCAGCTGCTCCTGTGGAAGAAATTCTGCAATTTACAGCCTCTGGAAACCTGCTGGAGGGTCATCTATGAGTAGATTCTGACTTTATGGCAATGAGTTTGAGTTTGATGGTTGCCCCAATTATCTAGTATTTTTCAAGTGTGGGTGTTTTAGAAGTAGTTTTTAAGTTCATGTAGTAAGTCTTTTTTGCTTCAATTGCACATATTTGCCTAGATTTATAACAAATGGCAAAGAAGTAACAGCTCCCGGGGTATTAATTGTCACATCATTAAAGTTAATGTTCCAGTGTCGACAAGTCCCTTCGGAGTGTCCTGTGAGTGGGCAGTTCTGAGCCGGGGCGAGGGGTGGGGGGGCGTTGATCTCAGCGCGTACGTTTCAGGACTGATGGGTCATAAGGATCAGCAGAGACTGCACAACTCGAGTGCCATGCGCGCCCTGGGTTTCCAGGCGGACTTCCGGCGCCCTGAGCGCGGGCCGTGCATTTTTAAAACAGCTCGGGACCACGTGACGGCCGGCCCGCTCTGTAACTGGCTGTTCGCGGCTCTGTCTTGGTTTGGCGCCGAATAGTTCCCCTTTGTGGACGCGACCATTGTAGTCACGCTCGGAGGGGGGCACGGACCAGCCTCACGGCCAAGACTTACCCGGATGGACCTCCTAAGTAAGTCATAGGGGTTATTTATATTTTTAAAAATTGAAATGGAATCCACCCAACAAGGGCGAGGAGGGCCGGTTTCGGTGGGAGGAAAGCGCAGCCTCGCTCCGAGTCCCTCCTGCCCCCCCGCGGGGCCGCGCACGTGGTTCGGCCCGAGGCGCGGGCTCCGCCTCCACGGGGGCCGCCATTTTGTTAGGCTGGAGGGGAGTGAGCGGCGCTCCGGGGGAGGGGTCTCGCCGGCGCCTCACCTGAGCTCGCTGCCGCCGCGCCGCCGTTTCTCTGCTGGGAGGCCTTCTCCCCGGCCGGGGGTTCGGAACCATGTACATCAAGCAGGTGAGGCCTGCCCCGCCGCCCCGTCCCTGCCTGGCCGCTGCAGGGCGCTCCTGGGGGCGGGGGTGTCTCGGCGCGCGCACCTCTGGGCGAGCACGGGGGGACCCGGGGCTGGACCGCGGCCTGCGGGGAGGGGGACCCAGGACCGCGGCCTGCGGGGAGGGGGGCGGGGCCTCGGAGAGGGGGGCGCACTCCTCCGCAGCCCACCCCCTACCCCGCGGGGCGCTCGTCTGAGGGAAGCGGGACGGCGGGGCGCCCGGGAGGGTCGGCGATCGGGCGGGGACCGGGCCTGGGGGCGCCGGGGTCGGGGCGGAGGGGGTCCAGGCCGGTAGGGGAAGGGCCGTGTCCTGCGGAGGGGGGCCGGGGAGCGCGGCGCGAGGAGGGTGGGCGCCCCTCAGCCTGGGGTGCACCCCACTTGGCGGGGACCCCCCCGCCACCCGCGGAGACCTCGCGGGGACCCTCCTCCTGCAGCCCCTCGGCCACTTGTTTCCTTCTGTCAAAGTGGCCTTCCCGCGCTGGGTCCCCGCGAAGACGCACCCCTTCACACTTTGGGGGGGAGGCTTTCCCGTGGACGCGAGGTGTGCAGCCGTGGCTGGTGTCGGGCCGAGGGGCACCCCCGGGGCTTGATTAGGGGGTCGGGGAGCCGGCGCCCCCCCATGCTGCACGCGTCCTGCACCCTGCACCCCCGCGTCCTGCACCCCGCACCCCGCACTCCGCGGGGCTGTAATGTCCAGCGTGGCCGGCGGCCAGCGCCCAGCAGGTCTCTAACAGCGATCGCGGGCGCCAGGAGGGGCTTACGGCTGCCGCAGCCACTGGGGAGCCTGGTGGGAAGGCGCTGCGCTGCCGACGCAAAGGTGTGCGGTTCGAATCCACCAGCCGCTCCGAGGGAGACTCGTGGATCCCTTTTTTTTCCCCCCCAGATAATCTTGCAAAACTTATTTGTATGCTATTTTATATTGACGGCCTGATAATCAGTTAAAAGTTAATTTCAGAATTTTAAGACAGCAGTGCATTGACCCTTGACAGTTAAAGAGGTGTTAATTATCATTAAAGTAGTTGGTGTTTATCATGGATCATTTTACAGCAGTTACTGCCCCTGACGACCCAGTGGAGGGTCAGCGCGCTGGTGCTGGATGGCCACACATTTCAACCTGAAAACACATTGCAATTTTAGGTTGTGTTGGGGTTTTTTTTTAAGTCACTTTTAGAAACTATTCCTTTTTAAAAATGTCTACTCAAAATTACTTCTTTTACTCACTAGGTCATTATCCAAGGCTTTCGAAGTTACAGAGATCAAACGATTGTGGATCCCTTCAGTTCAAAACATAATGTTATTGGTAAGTGTTCCAGTTTGTGTGAGATAAGAATTATGTAGACAGCCCTATGAATTCTGTTTCAGCCATTTAACGGGTTTGAGTAGTTAGAACTGTAATGTATATGTTTCTCCTTTTTTTGAAAAAAATCCCCATTGATGAATTGTTTTGTAAAGTTGATGTTATTTGGTTATGCTTTGGTAAGCTACACTCATTTGTTTTTATTTGTGTGTGTGAAAATGGGTCTTTGTACCTTTGAGAACTAGTCTTTATATGTATATATGACATTTAGTTCAGGGTTTGAGCTTTTCTATTTTTGATAATGTCATAGATCTATCTGTTGCTGTGACTCAAAATGAGATTGGTTGTTTTTGTTTTCTTGTCAGTGGTTAAGGGCAGACAATGTAGCTTGTTGGGAAGAGCATACATGTTGGAGTGCAACAGAAAGGTGTTCATATCACAGTTACTTTTCATATTTTACTGTCTGAGAGGCTTTTTTTCTCTTGTAAAGTAAAAATGACATCCATTTCATAGGACAGTTAGCAAGATTAAATGAGGGAGTGTAAATGAGAGAGCATATGTAAACATAAGGAAAAAGAACTAAGCAATTAGTGGTTGCAGTTAATAAAATATTTAGTTTTCAGATTATAATGTTTATTATGCTGAGAGTCAACTAAAATGTGTTTTATCTTCTGAACTGTTAAAAGATGAAATGAGTGCTTCTAAACACGTGCTTTTATAACCCAGTATTTTGATAGAGCATCGTCCTTACCAGATGAGACTCAATAAAAGTTTCAGTGAAGAGTGATTGTTACATGGGAATTCTCCCAGAAGACCCTTGGAGAATCATACTTCCTTATTTTGTGTGAGGTGGCCTGGGGGCCTAGTGGCAAGAAGCTGCACTGCATATGCGGCCTCTCTTGCACCACAAGAGAGTGGGCAGACCTTCCTGCACAGTTAACTGCCTCTGAAAACTGCTGGAGGGTCAGCTGTGGGTTGGTTCCCACAGTTTTATATAAACTCCGTATATCAATTGCAGTGTTCTAACTGGGAATAAAAATGTTTCTTCAGTTTTCTGTAACACCTCAATTGATATTCCACCAGTTCTTGGGAACTTACTTTTTGCTATGCTTTCAATGCAGCTTGGACCTTTTCCTTAATAACCATTGGTTCTTGATTTTATGCTGCCTCCTGAAATGGTTCTGTGTCAGCCATTTCTTTTTGGTGCAGTGACTATGTGCATTTCTTCCATCTTGTTTTGCTGCTTCCTGCATCATTCAAGATTTTGTTCATTGCATCCTTCAGTATTGCAACGCGAGGCTTGAATTTATTCTTTCTTCCTTTCAGCTTGAGAAATGCCAAGTGTAGACCCTTTTGGTTTTCTAACTCACTGTCTGCACATCTCATGATAATGCTTTGCTTTGTCTTCCAGAGCTACCTTTTGAAATCTTTTTAGCTCTCTTATTTCATAATTTCTTCCCTTAATCTCCCTTCTCTATGTTGAAAAATAAGTTTCAGAATCTCTCATTTTGAAAAATGCAGGGAAGACGAGACGAAAATGCACTGAACATGAGTATGTGTATATTTATTCATGTCATCAGCTCTTAGTTCTTTAGGATAGATCTCTAGTAGTAGGGTTGCTAAATTGAATTGAATGGTATTTCTGTTCCTGTCTTTCTTCAGGAAGCACCATATTGCTTTCCACAGTGGTTGCATTATTTTACAGTCCCACCAGCAGTGGATGAAAGTTGCAGTTGCTTCGTGCTCTGGTGGCAACCATTTGTTTGCTGTCTTACCGAACTTTGCTATTTGTTTAGTATTTCAGTTGCATAATTTTGTAAATAATCTGTAAAATGACCGTTATTTAGAATGATTAAATTCTGTAGATCTTTAGAAGTCTGTAGAATATTCTGTAGAGAGTCAGCAAAGAAGAGAGACCCTTAATGAGGTAATTGATATTGTGACTACAGTGTTGGGCTCAAACACAGCACTGATCCTCAAAGGGGGCCCAGGACTGGAAGTGTTTTGTTTTATTGTATGTAGGATTGTTATGAATGGGAAACAACTCAATAGCACGTAACAAGAATCTATTGAATAGTATTGTTTTAGTTGTTATCACTTGGCTATTTTACTACCAACATTGGCATGGTCAATTGCTACTTTTACAAAAGTATTAAGTGTTGCTTTAATTAAAACCAACCTGAACTATACAGTTTTATTAGTTAAACAGATTTGAACATAAAATAGCAGGTCCAGCTACCTTAATGTAAGAAAGACCAAAACCCACGCATATTTAGTGACCCTAACAGAACTGATCCATAGCTGACTCCTGCAGGTTTTCAGAGGCAGTGAATTGCGTGGGAGGAGAGTGCCACCTCTTTTCCTGTGGAGCAGTAGGTCGACTTGAGCCTTTGGGATCACAGTGCAGCTTCTTACCACTAGGCCACAAGTCCCATTTTCAATATTATATGATTTTCACCCTTTAAAAAAAAAAAATTTAAAAAACCCTAACAATTGGATATAAATATTTTTGCACTAATCTTAATATGCCAGACATAAAAATTCCAAAGATTTCCCCCCCCCCAACCTTTTAACAAAAAGGAAACACATAAGGTATAGAACCTTATGGAAGAGCAGGAAAAGGTAAACTACAATCCTTTTACTTAGTGATAGATGTTTGGGTTTTTTT